CATCAAAGCACTGCCAACATCGACATTGAAGAAATTAGTTCGTGAGATTGGTATGCATCGACTTAAAGATTTTCAGTGATCAATATCAGGGGGGAATAGCTGTACTCTTTTTCCTTCGTATATGTTTTATCCTACTGAATTTTTTTAGCAAAGTTTTAATGATACACCATTTATTTTTAATACTCCAAAATAATTGTATTCTTTTTTTTTTCGTTTGATTTTTTTGTCTCATTGAATTTTTATCAAATAAGGTTTTAACGGGGCAAATATTTTGTAACGTGTCTCCATTCAAGGGGAGTGTTGTAAATTGTAAGTTTATTAGGATTTGTTAGTGAATGACAATTTTACCCTGCAATCTTATAAATTATTACCATTGTATCCCTAATTCTTACTTATAAATATAGGGCTCTGGTTCTTAATAAAATATACACAAGTCTATTGACTTCTCTCTGTTCTCTTATATTTTCTTCTCTTTTTACAACGGTTTCTTTATTTAACGTTTTTTTTTTCTTTTCTTCTTGCATGTCTTTTATGTGTTATCAACAAATAAATATTTTCTTTAGTTTAACTATTTATCAATAAATCAAATCTCAACAAACAATTTTTAATCAAATAATCAATATAAATTAAGTTAAGGTCACATCAATTTTGTTTTTTTAAAAAGTACATGCACCGTAAGAGATTATAATTGTTTTTTTCAGTCCCAAAATTAAGTTTCTTTCAACATTTTTTTCTTTTTTCTTGCGTGCCTTTTATGTGTTATCAACAAATAAATGATTCTTTAGTTTAAATATTTATTAATAAATCAAATCTCAACAAACTATTTTTAATCAAATAATCAATATAAATTAAGTTGTCACATCAATTTTATTTTTTTAAAAAGTACATGCACCATAAGAGATTATAAGAATAATAAAATGTAGCCCTCAGGACATAGTCCAGTGGTGCAAATGACAGGAGTGAGGTTGTCTCACGCCTTGCTGGCAGCCGCAGTGTGGGGATTCGATTCCTGAAACATGGAATTGAACTCCTTGTAGGCGCAGTGTACAGACAGCTCTTGTTCCTGGCCAATTGTGACACATCCCGCGATTTACCACCATCACAAAACTCTAGAAACAGGGCGGTGGGGGCCCTCAAGGTTGGGGTTCAACTTTTTTTTTTTAATAATAAAATGTATAGTAACAGCTAATTAATAATTAATTTTCACATTATATATGATTTTTTTCATTGCTTTGATCTTTACACCACAACCTTGGCACGATTCCTTTCCTTATTTGTTTGAACCCCCCTAATTTAATACAAGGAAAAATTTTTCCAGTGTTTTCATATATTAAGTTTTAGATAAGATAATGACCAAGAAATATATTGATAATTACGGTACAAGTCTAGAGAGTTTATAATGGTAGAAAAAAAAATTATAAAAGAAACTATCAACATTTAGAAAATTATTTTTGTCTAAGTTGAGATTTTTTTTTGAATCACACGAAAATCGAGAATCCTCGTTGTTTGTCATGTTCATCATCTTTTCTTTTGTGAATATTTTTAAGTCAAGTTGATAAATTGCTTACGGGCTAACTATAAAATAAAAATGCAAATCCGGAAAAGAATATTGTGAAATGGACTTTTTGTCTTTCATGTCTTTTTCGAGTTACGAAGAAATAAATATTAATATTATTTGGCATATCCTACGCGGTATTCTAAAATTATTTTTCTTGTTAAAAATAATAAGCCCATGTTCGACCCTCATTATAATAAGAAATTTGAGTAAAGTGTATTTTGGACTAGTAGTTTTTAAAAAAATGTGTGACTAAAAAAAGATTAAAATTTTTTTTATTTACGTGTAATGTTATTTTATTAAAAAACGTGTTATTGAAAAGAAAAGTGAGGAAAATGATTTTAAATTTTAATGTGTGATTTAGTCCTTGTTTGACAACTATTTTTTTCAAACTATTTTTTCTACATATTCATTTTTAACCACACATTAAAATATTTTACACGTAAATTCAAAACTTTTTCTTACTTTTTTAACCACACATTTTTCTAAAAATCATTATTCAAAACTCATTTTTTTCCAAATAATGATTGTCAAACAGGGTACATAATATTTGGCACACATGATTTATATATCTTTATCCTTTCGTATATCCGTCCATCCTTATCTAATAAATTTATTAATATGAAGAGACGACGACAATGATTTATTTTGCCCATCACATTTTTGAATTCAAGAATCTACTTTTACTTGATTTTTCTTGGGAGAGAACCAACAAATCCATGTTTTACAGTGTTAAAGAGTAAGGTTTGGTACACATTAATGTAAAAATGAGAATGAAAAATATAGTCGTTAAGGGTCCAACACAAGAGATAGAAAGTCAAATATGGTAACTTGATGTGATAGATAATGATCATATTTTTCATTTTAATGGATAAATAATGGGAAACAAATGGGGGCTAAATTTTCACGTCGAACAACGACAAAATAAATAGACAATATACAACATTAAAAGTTAGGGAAAAAAAATACATAAGAATATAAGGAAGAGCATTTTCAATACAAATCTCCCCTCCTGCTAGAAGTGAACACGGTTTACAAGAAAATCTGGGTTTTAATTCACAACGGAAAACCAATTTGTCTTTCGAAACTTACCAAAACAAATACAAAAATAGGATAGAAAAGTTATTTATGTCCGAGTTTTCTAGTTTGAAACCTGCAATTATAATGGCGACATTATGCAATAAAAAGTATTAACGAACCAATTCTTAAAAGCAAAAAATTGATAAATACCTTATTCTTTGCTTGAAACTGATTTTATACAAAATCATTTTTTCTTCAAACCCATTTTTAACCACACTTTTTGAAAAAAAAAAAAAAATCATTTTCACATTTTTCTTAATTTCTAACCGCACATTCAGAGAATCACATTTCATAAAACCACTTCTCAAAAATAGACCGCAACAGAAGGGGGTTCGATTCCCTTTATACACAATGTGGCGAAAAAAGATTGATTCAACGAGATGTACATTGTCTACATTAAAAGCTAACACTTGTCGTCTACTTTTAGGTAATATTTGGAATCGAGAACTTAAAATAATTCGTTACATCTGTCAAAGATTGAGAAACAAGAAAAGATCTATCAAAAGAAAAATTTATTTGAGAGAAAATCTTAATAGTTACGTTCAATCACAAACTGCACACAAAGTTCCTTTTTTCTTGAAGCTTTTATCCATCATAAGAGATGTACGTAAAAACAAAATAATCGTATAGGATTTAGTGGGGATTCAAATTAAATATTCATTAGATTTTCATAAAAGTCAATGAAATATTTGATTGAAAAGTTGTGAATCTCATTAAACATGTGGTTAAACTAATTATTAACTTTGATTTAGATAAAAATCAAAATTTTAATCTTCACCAAACATGGGTTAATATAAGCCCCTGTTTGAGTTCCATTAAAAATAGGCGTTGGGAAAAAATATATTTTAAAATAGTGATTTTTTTGAAGATGTGACTAAAGCTAAGAAAAAAATTAATTTTAGGAGTAATATTATTTTTATTGGAGAATGTATATTCAATAATACAAAGGAAAAAAAAAATCATTTTCACAAAATTGGAGCCAAACAAAGGTTAAAAGACAAAAAATTTAAAAACTGCACGCTGCCCAAAAATCTGTCTCTGGGGCTTCACATCAATAATTAAAGGGAAACTTATATAAAAAGCCAATTAAGGATTTTTTTAATAAACCAGATCAAAACATTAATTAAATACTGCTAGATACATATCTCCTATTTGATGGTCATTATAGAGAGAAATTAGGGAAAAATAATATTTTGAGTATGGATTTTTTTCTTGGAGAAGTGTGGTTAGAAAGTACTATAAAATTTTAATTTATATATATATATATATATATATATATATATATATATATATTTTTTTTTTTAATTGAGTATGAATAATAAAGAATTTTGGAATAATAATAGGCAAGATAGGGGCATATTCTACGCTGTATTCTAGAAATTTTTTCTTGTCAGAAATTAAAAATATCATTAATTTCCGAACTAACCACCAACCAATGTAAGTCGTCAGCAATGACTTTTTGTCCACTTAACTTTTGTATTCCAGAATTCACTTGTGCTCGATTTTTCTAGGTTATAAAGAAACCATATAGACTATGGGTCCACCGTCCACACCTGCAATTCCATGTTTGGCAGTATTGAGTTAAAGTTTCATTTCAAAAATAGGGTCATGCTACAACAATCGGGAGGCTGACCGCCTCTCTGACCGAACCCCACAAATAGAGGGGGAGGTCCCATGTTTTTTGTGGGCCCATCCCCGTTTGTTATAGGAGCAAAATTCTCGAAAATATAATAATCCATTAAATTCAAATAACAATTCGATCTGATTGAAATTCAAATGAACAATTCAATTCATTTGCGATTAAACTACTCATTCATTCTGACTAAAGCTCAATTAAGTACTAGTATCCCAAGATTTGTATTCTTAAACAAGACACCTTTTGAGAAGCATGAGAAGGATAATTACAAGTCGAATAATGGTGAAGTAAATAAATAAAATATGTATTTTGAGTCATTGGCATGACTTTTGAGAAATCAATATAAATTTTAAAATTTAAAAGTTACTTTTGATACCAAATGGGTTCATTTTATAAAAGTATTTCTTTTAATTAATATAGTTTTTTTAATAAAGTTATTTTATCGCGACTTCCTTTGAAAGTTCTTCCGCGATATAATTTTATAAAAATTGGTTTTCAAACATTAGTTAAAGTAGCTTCCTCTAAAATATCTTTAACAAGAAATAAAAGTAAAAGTAGAAGTCATGTCAAACAAACCCTTAAATAAGGTTGACATTTTCCCACGAAGTCCCAAATTTTATTATTTTAATATGCAGCTTAAAAGTAACTTATATTTCTTGGCTTAGCCAAACATGTACTAAATCAAACCGCCCTATTCTTCTCCCTATAAACAACCATTCTTGGAACCAGTCCTAAATACACTCAACCTACATATATTTGCTGCCATTTAGGTTTTTTTTTTTGTTATTATCAAGAAAATGGGTAATGATGAATTGATTTTGCTAAATTTCTGGCCAAGCATGTTTGGATCCAGGGTTAAAATTGCACTGGAGGAGAAGGGACTCGATTATGAGTACAGAGAGGAAGAACTGCCAAACAAATCTCCCCTGCTCCTGCGAATGAACCCGGTTCACAAGAAAGTCCCGGTTTTGATCCACAATGGAAAACCAATTTGTGAATCAAATATTATAGTCCAATACATTGATGAGGTTTGGAATGATAAAGCTCCATTGCTTCCCTCTGATCCCTATGAAAAAGCTCAAGCTAGGTTTTGTGCTGATTACATTGACAAAAAGGTTGGTGTTACATCTCAATATATATTATGTATATATTTCATTGTTATACTGTTTGATGTTTTACCCTTAATATAAGTTGTCAAGAAGATAAATCTTGAAATCTGCGTGTCGAATTGAAATAATTACATAATGGCTCTGACTCCTTGTATCATATTAGGGTCATGTCTGTCAAGACTTTTAACAAGTTAAAATTTGCTTATATTATTAAAAATAATTAATCTACTTGTACAAAGTAGGTTAACAAAGTTTGTTGACAAAATCAATGTTGACAAGATTTAGGTCGTTAATCTGTTTTGAATTCAAAAATTATTTTTGAAATGAGTGATAAAGATATTGTCAAGTTATACTTTGTCAACTAACTTTGTCATCCTCCTTTGTAGGTGTAGCATCACTCTATTTAAAATTTACTTTTGAACATGTTTCGCTAAAGTAATTTGTCTTGTTAGAAGTGAGCTTTCTCTGAAAACTTTTCTACAATAAGCAGAAGTCATGCCAAATGGTCCTAAATTATGAGTTAGGGTCATTTCTTAATATTAGTAGCTTAAATTTTTATACAAGTGTACTTATTTTTCATTGTTATTTGACATGGGAATTAATCTTAACGTGTTATTTACTTCTTATACTTTGAGTAACAATTGTGGGATTATGCAATTGCAGTTATATGAAGCTGGAAAGAAGATAACATGGTATAAGAACAAAGAAGGGGCAGAAGAAGGTAAGAAAGAAGTGCTAGAAATCTTCAAAGTGTTAGAAGGAGCATTGGGGGACAAGCCTTATTTTGGAGGCGAAAACTTTGGATATGTTGATATTTCTCTTATTGGATTTTACATGTGGTTTCATGCCTATGAAACCTGTGGAAATTTCAGTATAGAGGTTGAGTGCCCTAAGCTAATGGCATGGGTTAAGAGGTGCTTAGAGAGGAAGACTGTTGCCAAGTCTCTAGGTGATCCCAAAATTGTCTATGAAATAGTGCTCAAGTTTAGAAAGAGTTGGGGTTTGGATTAGAGTTGTGAGGACTTGTGTTATGTATGAGAATAAGCCCGACTAGTTGAATGCCATTCGGACTAACATAGAGTTATGTGTCGTCTGTGTATTCTGAGTTGTGTGGTGATTTTCGATGTCTTTTTAATAAAGAAGACACTTAGTTCCGTCCCAAGTCGATTGGTTTTTTAATCTCTTTTTTGTACCTTTCATGAAAGTGCTTTTATTTTCACTAGAATTTTAAGGTTTGCCACATTTATGAAATAGTTCTTTCTATTAAAATTAAAACATATAAAGCAATAAACAATGTAAATAATAATTTCAAAAATCAGTGAGAGGATTCCCACTCTTCTTTGATCCATCTTAGGACCGAGTGGAAGGACTTTTGTAAGGGGTTATGTCACCCAAATTTATTGAGTGACGTTTCATCCATCCCATTGCAAGCAGTGCAATTAAGCCCTACGAAATCCTTTCAAGATCTTCAACTTTGCATCGATTGAAAGGAATTGTAAGGTAGAGAGGAAAAATACGTGAATAGAGAGAGAGATATAAAATTAGAGAGAAAAATATTGTTTTCTACTTATTTTCTCATATTACAAGAGATATTAATTGTTATATCCTTGTAGTTAAAAAGAAGGTTACTGTAATTTTTCCTACTATAGTGAAATTCTCTTATACTTGGATGAACAACATAAATATCTATATCCACTTTTTTAATTGCAATTTTCTCAATTTCACTTTAGTTGCGAGTTGACCTTGACCCACGTTTTTCTAACAAAAACAATGTGCATCGTATTAGATTTTGCCAAATAAATTTGTTGATAACAAAAGTCCTAGCGCAAGGTAAAAGTGACCTCTAATAAATTTGTACCTCTTATTATAGTAGGTTCTTGGATGGATGCACTTGCAAGAAGGAAAAATGCGATTATATTTTCTGATTTTATTACTATATTTTTCCTTTATTCTTGATTTATCTGATAGGTTGGTAATTTGTGCCTAGTTTTGGTGTAGAAGTATGTTTTGAATCTTCGATTTATTATCTTATTTTGTGTCAAAATAATTTATAAATCACATGCTAAAACACATGAAATCAAAGCGCATTAATTGAAGGCTACTGCAGGTCCATGCATGTAAAGAAATCATCAAAAATGTGTCTCAAGTCGAAATATCACAATTATCCCCTTGTCCCGGGCTATTGCATAGGAAACTATAATTGAAATCCTTTACATTGCATTAAAGTTGACTGCATCTAAAGCACCTTTTATCAAGACGTGAGATCACTTTAAGTATGGTCGGGCCACAAGTTTTATATATGTGATTTTCTTCCAGTTTTCACCAATGCTATAGCCCCTGTTTTAAATTTTTAGTAGATTTTGATAAAAAGTTAATGAAATATATAATTGAAAAGATGATAAAAATTTGTAGGTATCATAAAATGTGTCGTTCAAAATTAATTTTAAGAAAAAATGAGTTTTATAATATGGGAGCCGAATAAATACTTATTTAACTGATTATGTCCCAGTTTGTTTTGGATTAAAATCTCAATTCAAACTCAATATTTAATTTTAACAGCATATTTCATGAGATACACAACTTTTCAATCAACATTTTATGAACTTTTATCAAAATTTATTAAAAATCAAATTTTAATTTCCACCCAACAGAGACTGTATGTTCAATCTCGTAATGAAACTTATGGCTTTAAATAAAGAAGAAAAAATGTTCATTAATTTGACAACGTGTAAAAGTTTGGTCTCCATTTTGTGAAAATGAAAATAGTTGAATTAGTATTTTTTTTGAAAAATTAGTGGTTAAATAAGAAGTAAAGATTTTCGATTTACGTGTAATATTATTTTATGAAAGATTTTGTGATTGAAAATAGGAGAAAGAAAAATAAAATGTAATGAAATAAAAATTAATGAGGGGCAAACAAGAGCTTAGTTTGAACTTCGACCAGCAAAAACATGTTCACTTGTACAAGTATATTTTTAGGCTTATCCAAACATGCACCAACTCCAGCCACCCAATTCTTTTTCCTACGTACATTCCCCATTTCCCTGAAGAAAACATTGAAACCTATCCTAAATACGCTCTTCACATATCTTTTGCTGTCATAGAGGTTTTCTTGTTAGAATCAAGAAAATGGGTAATGATGAATTGATATTGTTAAGTTACTGGCCAAGCATGTTTGCAGCAAGGGTCAGAATTGCACTGGAAGAGAAGGGACTCAATTATGAGTACAGAGAAGAGGATTTGCCAAATAATAAATCTCCTCTGTTGCTCGAAATGAACCCGGTTTACAAGAAAATTCCGGTTTTGATTCACAATGGGAAACCAATTTGTGAATCGAATATTATAGTTCAATACATTGATGAGGTTTGGAATGATAAAGCTCCACTTCTGCCCTCTGATCCTTATGAAAAAGCTCAAGCTAGGTTTTGGGCTGATTATATTGATAAGGTGAGTAATCTCCCCACACCCATACCCATTAATAAGGATTATTTATTTATTATTATTATTTTTTTTGCTGGGCTGCTTATTTTCTTTGCTATTTGAACCATATTTGGTCTTCATAGAAAATGAATCTGTGCTGTGTAAATCAGTTCACCTGTGCTATATGTACATAATAATTTACATTACATGATGTGGTGAAATATGATTCGATGAGAATTTCTTCAATCAACTAAAAAAATAAAAAAAAATCTCTACTTTGTTTTCAAGTTTATTCTAACCCGATACTGCTAGCCTTAACCGCCCAGGCTTAGGGTTGGAAAAAATTGTTCTACCTATCGTTTAGGTAGGAAAATAGACAGTTTACATTGATCGGTGAAGAAGTGTTTAGAAGGAAAAAAGCGCACACCTTTTTTCTTTTACAAATGGTAGTTTCTTATTTTGAAATTCAGCTTAACAAAATGTTCAATCATAAGCTTTGGATTATTAATTTAGGTTATTTATTTATAATATAGAATATTTGTTATTTATTAAAATCCAGCATACCAATATGTTTGTTGTTTACTGAATATAGAACACTTACTTATCCCCGAACAAAACATTTTTGATTTGGAGTAGTTATGAACTAATGAGTTTGAAAATTAAGTCCTATAGATTATTGAGATTGAAGCACAAAGGAAATTCTCTTTTATTACTAAACAAACTTGTACAATTAATTTTATCACAACACTATCTTGATTAATCTCTCTCACACACCACTTGTATATGTGTGCCTCTCTTTCTCTATCTTTCTTCACACACCCCTTCCTGCACTCTTTCCTTTCTTTGTTTCTCTTATTCACTCACTTCACCATGCACCATCCCCTATTTATTGCGGTATAAGTTGGTGGTGACAATTCTAGATCCCTCTAGCTTTAGTAATAAAATAATATTACAAATGGCTCCTAGAATCTTCTAGCATATAGGCTGTAAAACTGCATGTGGGTAAATTAATGGTGCACTAACTAGAAAATTCTAGATTTTAAAGTCGGTGATGATCTTCAATTCTCCTCTTCAGTATCGACTTTTCATTTTTACTCTTTTCTTTTTCGTCACGTCGAGTTTTGCTTCAGATTCGATCAATTTCAAATCACTTGATCCTTTATTCAATACATTGGCGACTTCAAATATATCTTACTCTTTCAGGCTTTCATCTTTATCGATTTTCAAATTAGGATAATTGATACTTGATTTCTCGTGTCTATTCGACTTCCATATTTGTGATTTTAAATTTGTACGTACCTCGATCTCTTGTTGTCTTTATCGATCCTTCACTATTATTCCTACACCTTTTTGTTCAGGACTCTGTATTGCCCTTATAAATTCTTCTTTAACATTTGATACATGTAGATCTTTAGATTCTTTAGGACTTTGCGTTACCTTTAGATGTTCATGTTCACTGATTGACTCTATCGCATCCATTTCCTTTGAATCTAGCAATTCCATTATCTACGGTGTCTGCCAAGAATAAGCTTCTTCAAACATTTCCTTTAAGTTTGGTAGTTCTTCTCTCTACGGAGTGCATCAAGACTCTTCAGGAATCAAGATGTCCTCTCCTGAGTCATTGACCAAATCATCTTCTCCCGAGTAAGAGTAAATTTAACTAATGCTCACTGAACTTTAAACTTGGTTACTACTTGCTCACTCATCTTTCACGGGTTACTGAATGCTCACTCATCTTTTCATATAGTTACTCATCCACCACTCGTCTCTTCAAATAATTGGACGACTTTTGCGGCAACTTTTCGACAACTTTCGACCACCAAAAATGTCGAATTTTGATACCATTGGAAAGCTCACGATATCCTCTTCAATTACCTCTCAAAATCTCCCTATAACTCCAAGGGATTCGATTGAAAAATTGCCTTAAAAGTCACCCAAAATTTTTGAAAATCTGCCCAGATTTTTCAGATTTTTTGGGCGACTTTTAAGGCAATTTTTTGGCAACTTCCTACTATCAAAACTGCTGGATTTTGATACCATTGGAAAGCCCACAATGTCCTCTTCAATTACCACCCAAAATTTTCCCATAACTCCAAGGGATTCAGTCGGAATAAACCCACAAAGTCAGCATCCCGAAAAGGCGAAAATCTGGATAGGGTTCGGGATGCTGACTTTGTGGGTTTATTCCGACCGAATTCTTTGAAGCTATGGGGAAATTTTGGGTGGTAATTGAAGAGGACATTGTGAGCTTTGCAATGGTCTGCAGTTTTGATGGTCGGAAGTTACCAAAAAATTGCCTTAAAAGTCGCCCAAAAAATCTGAAAATCTGGCAGATTTTCAGATTTTTTGGGCGACTTTTAAGGCAATTTTTCGATCGAATCCCTTGGAGTTATAGGGAGATTTTGGATAGTAATTGAAGAGGATATCATGGGCTTTCTAACGGTATCAAAATTCGACATTCTTGGTGGTCAGAAGTTGCCGCAAAAGTCACCCAATTATTTGAAAAGATGAGTGGTGGATGAGTAATTATAGGGAAAGATGAGTGAGTATTCAGTAACCCGTGAAAGATGAGCGAGCAAGTAGTAACCAAGCTTAAAGTTCAGTGAGCATTGGTTAAATTTACTCCCCGAGTTATTAGTTTAATCATCGTCACAATCCATTTGCTCAGGCAAGACTACCACCAAAGCTGATTCATCCTTTAAATTTGAATTAAATTTCTCTTCTCGATCTTGCTCAATTGTTGCTGTGATTGCTTTAGCATCTCATTCTTCTTCACTAGTGCATTTATCCTGTTGGAGGTTGCTACGTTATCTTCTGCTGACTCCTTTTTAAACCCACAATCTCTAGCATAATGATCTCGTTTGCCTTATCTTGTTGGAGGTTGCTACATTACCTTCTGCTGACTCCTTTGGATAGCTGATCTCTCTTACCTTCCTTGTCACATAACTTTTTTCATGTTTATCTTCTTTTTAACTCTTTATCATTCTGTTGAAGGGGTCGACCTCTTCTTTTATAACTATATAGTGCTTCTTCCTCTTCTTTCTTTATTGAGAGTCCTGGCATTTGTCTAGTCGATGCTTGTTGATTGACCAGCAAATTTTCAAAATTGACCAATGAAGATTGCTCTGGTCAACCTTCTATTGCAGCAATAAAATTTCCAAATTTGGGTTTCAAGCCATGTATGATTATTCTTCTCATTCCGGACTCTGAAATTTTACTTGAAGCATTTAACTCAGAAATTTCACAATAGAGAGATTTAACTTTATTGAAATATTGACTTAATGTCAAATTACTTTGAGAAATCGAAAGCAGCTCATCCTCCAGAAGCTGCAACCTCAGATCATTTTTTCTCGAGAATAGTAAAGCTAAAGTGTCTCATGATTCCTTTAATGTGGTCTTATCTCTTATGTGCTCTAACAATATGACTCCATACAAGTTTGTCATATGGTGTACTTATGATTATTGAACTTCCTCACTCCGCCTACCACTTGTAGGTCACCCATCGTGATTTGAATTACCTCCTCGTAATCAAGTAAGTTTTATGAAAACTTCACAAACTCTTTTTGTGTATGAACTCAAGAAACTAAAAAATCCCTTCCTGATCGTCTCGCTCTGATACCAAGTTGTTGGGATTGAAGCACAAAAGAAATTCCCATTTATTACTGAACAAACTTCTACAATTAATTTTATTACAACACTATCTTGATTAATCTCTCAGGGACCACTTGTATATGTGCGCCTCTCTTTCTCTACTCTCTTCACATACCTTTTCCTGCACTCTTCACTTTCTTTGTTTCTCTTATTCACACACTTCACCATTCAAGATCTCCTATTTATAGAGGTACAAGTTGGTGGTGACAATTCTAGATCCCTCTAGCTTTAATAATAAGATTATATTACAAATGGCTCATATAATCTTCTAGCATATAGGCTGTAAAACTGCATTTGGGTAAATTAATGATGCACTAACTAGAAGATTCTAGATTTTAAAGTCGGTGATAATACTCGTAAATATTAAAAATATTAGTTATTTTATTTATTGGTTTACCATATTTAAAATAATACTCAAAACAGGAAAATATTTCATTAAAGGCGTGTTTGATTGGCATGAAAAGTGTTACCTAGAAAAGAAAATGCTTTCTTTGTAATGAAATATGAATTGTGCTGTTCATTTCATAATTGATTATACAATTAGAGGGTTTACAATTTATAGTGTACAAGAGTTGGCAAATAAGGAAAAAATCTACTCTCCTAAAATAAGAAAGAAATCAATACTTATTTTACATTACACCAATTATGGAATGTAAATATTCTAAAATCAATTTGGTTCCTATCTTTATTTGATAGGATTCAGTTTCCACACTTCCCCTCAAATTGGATCATAGATGTTAATCATGTCTAATTGCATATGAATCGTTGAAGCTTGGACGAGGTAGTCCCTTAGTAAAGATATCTGCAACTTGCTCTTGTGTAGGAACATAAGTCGTGCAAATGGTTCCTTCCTCAACTTTCTCCTTTATGAAGTGTCTGTCAACTTCTATATGTTTGATACGATCATGTTGGACTGGATTAAGTGAGATATTGATTGCTGCCTTGTTATCACAAAGCATTTTGATGGGAAATTTGTAATAACATGCAATTCTTCTAGGAGTTTTCTCAACCACAGCCCTTCACATATTCCTTGTGCTACAGCCTTGAATTCAGCTTCAGCACTACTTCTAGCAACCACATTTTGTTTCTTACTCCTCCAAGTTACAAGATTTCCCCACACATAGGTGCAATAGCCAGTAGTTGATCTTCTGTCTTCTATTGAACCTGCCCAATCTGCATATGTAAAGATTTCAATTTCCCTTTTTTCACTTTTCTTAAAAAGCAGTCCCCTTCCTGGGGATCCCTTTAGGTATCTCAGTATCTATAGACTGCTTTCAGGTGACTTTCCTTTGGTGAGTGCATATGTTGACTTACACGGCTCACTGCAAATGCAATATCAGGTCTAGTGTATGATAAATATTTTAACTTTTCAACCA